GCGCTATCCAGAGATTCAACAAATGTATTTGTTAATAGCATTGAGGAAATTCTAATTATTCAAATTTGGTTAGGTCAAATATAAAGGAAATCAGTTGTACTTATTTCAAAATTTGAATCGATCGTTTTAAAATTACATAATTAGTGAACACAGTTAATTTGTATAAAAGATTGATAAATACATTACTATCGCTGGATAGTAAAACTGGATATTCAAAACCCTGTTCATATATCATTGTCTGTCGGAATTAGTTCTCCTTCTGTTGCACTCGAGAAATGCGGAAAATAGAGCATTGATACGCTAATATCGGGCAGGATATACTCCAAGATTCCGCTGCGGAAGTATAAAAAGCGCTGTTGTCAAATTTTCAACCATTAATGGTTCTGCCATTCCTTTTTTCTTTCAGTAAAATGCTCCTGGACACTGTGTCTATCAATAAAGATTCCTTGACTATCTTTCTACTTCAAAATATATTCGTTCTTACTGACATATTGTTCAAGAATAAATTTGCTGTATTATAATGAATTGTAAGATTAACATGCAGAGTATTTGCCATGACGGCGGTAACTTGCCAGACGATATTTACCAGATCATTATTATGTCATGTGAAGTGAGAGCTCGAATTCAATAATGAAAGCTGATTGAAATGTTAATTTTTCGAAGTCATTTGCAGTTGCTGTTTTTCTGAATGTCATAAAATAGATCTGAGATATTTTTCAAACACGAAAAGGTTCCAGAAGATAAGTGTGGCAGGTTTTGATTGAAACGATTTCTGAGAATATTAATTAATTAGGTGGTAATCCACCTGTCGGTTAATAAGACGTAAACTCAAAGTTATAATAAACGGAAACATAATCGCTTCATGCACAGTTCGAAAATCTACTGACCGTAAAATAAAAATTGGTTAATGAAATGTGAAACTTTTCAAATTTCTACTACTTGTTGACTTCCCATTTCTAATATTTTAGAAAATGTCATTAAGCGTTTAACTAAGATTCTTTTTAAAATGGCTGCTATTTTCAATAAAGTAAAATTATCTTTAGAAAACATCGAAATTATAGCACAGATAACTTTAAATATGGCAAAGTTAATAGTACATATTGCTTTTATCATTTATTGCCAAGCTGCCAACCAAAACCAAGCTAGAAATGCAGCACCACCTGCGCGAGCAGAAGCTGCGGGACCAGTAGCTGCGGCAGTTGGAGCAGTAGGTATACATCTCACTTTTT